GGAGACTGGTAACAAGTGGTGTCCCTCAGGGGTTGGTGTTGGGACTGATCTTGTTCAACATCTTTGTCGGTGGCATCGACAGTGGGATTGAGTGTGCCCTCAGCAAGTGTCCTGGGTTCACCTTTGCTGATGACACTAAGCTTCATGGTTTGGTTGATACTGTGGAGGGAAGGGATGCCATCGTGAGGGACCTTGACATGCTTGAGAAATGGGCCAATGCCAACTTCATGAAGTTCAACATAGCAAAGTGTAAGGTCCTACACCTGGGTCGGGGCAATCCCAGGCACAGCTACAGGTTGGGCAGAGAAGAGATTCAGAACAGCCCTGCAGAGAAGGACTTGGGGGTGTTGGTTGATGAGAAACTGAACATGAGCTGGCTTCAGTGTGCGCTTGCAGCCCTTCTGGGCAGCCTGCCATATCCCGGGCTGCATCAAAAGAAGTGTGACCAGCAGGTCGAAGGAGGTGGTCCTGCCCCTCTACTCTGCTCTCGTGAGACCTCACTTGGAGTACATGGCACATTGCTATATGGTAAATCTGGGAAACTATAGCTTTTTTTAAGTTAATCATATTGCTATGGTAATTGAGTAAAATTAAATGCTGGCTGAAAATTACATTGCTGAGAAACTTGGTGCCAGAAGCATGGAGGGAGATGCAGGAAAAAAAATCATTTTTAGAGATCAGGTTTGATTTCAGCATGTGGATATAAAGGTGATCATGAAAGTCTTTATATAAGTGTTTACATAGATGAAAGTGTAAAGCTGAACCAGACTTATACTGCGAAGTTGGAACTGGTCTGTTACAAACAAATTCCTACATTTCTAGAACATAGGGTCCAACATTCAGTATATACTGTGGCAAACGGAAGCTAAATTTTGATTCGTGGGTGTTATCACAGAAGATTGAACATCAAAGCATGTTACAGTTTTAGATTTAAGAGTATGGATAATATAAAGAAATTAGCTTGTTGAAGTCTAGGTATTTGCAGTATTGTAGTTCTTACCTGTATGCGAAGGTTCTCCTGACCAAACTCTCTAGAAATTCTTGTCACTATTTGTTATGAAGGGATGAAGAACATGAAAGGTAACAGTAAACCAAATGCTTATTGGGTTAGGAAATAATTTTCTTGTTCAAATCTATCACTTTTTCAGAATTATATATTGTCTAATTGACTTCTTCAAAGGCTAGTGGGTGACTGGTTTGGAATCATTGTTAGATAAGGCACTACCTCTCCATTATTTGCTGACATGTCCCTTTATTTCACCTGCAAAATTTATTCAGGCTTATTCTGCATATAGTCTACAGGTTGTCCATGCACACGAAGTACACTGAGCGTGCTCGGGAATTATCTGGCTTACAACAATGTGTACTACAAGGTATATATGAATATTCTTTGACTGGGAAATTTCAGAAGGAACAGAATGATTCTATTCTCAAATATTTTGAGTACCTTTTTTTCTAGAATTTGGAGTGTTTTGCCTACTGATACAGCGCTCGTAAGGAAGTCACTCAGACAAAATTGGAAATAAAGGAAAGAAAAATTTCATTCACTCCAGAAGGAGAGTAGGAAAGAACTTAATAAGAAATTTATATTTTCTGTATTCGTATATTCTTTCCTCTGTTGAATTACAAGTGCTATGCTAAATTAATAAAAAAGAAGTCCATTTGGATTGTGTAAGCAATGTGTAGTTATTCAGTTAATATTTAATAAATTCCTTGATAGAAAACAGGATACCAGTTGATTAACTGGCCTGGTATCAATTCTTGTCCATACCCTACACAGATAAGTAAGAATAAATTCATCAACTATAATAAAGGAAATAATAGAAACCTTTCCGTTAACCTCTGTGATATGGGAGATGGAAGTGTTTTGGGGTTAAGACTGTAGTGAATACAGTATGTATTTCAAATTGACTTTTAAATTTTTAGAAGACTTCTATTTGCAATTCTGAAGACTTATAATTATGGAAATGCACAAAGAAAAGGAAAAAGTATCTAGAATATCATCCTTTAATCTGCTAAATAGAGGATTTAAAGTATTTAAGTTTCATAATTTTTCCCAAAACATTTTGTTAAGTACAGCCTACTTAGATTTAGATACATCTACAAGTGTGTATCTGGCTTAGTTCTGTACATTTGACAGACCTGAGAACATTCTAGGATTAATCATAGGGAAAAAAAAAAAAAAGTGAAGTTCCTTTCTAGAGGAAAAAATAAGGGTATTACTAGAAAAGACCACAGCATTTGTTGGTTTTAAACTCAGTATGTAAACACAGTAGCTGAAGCAAATGTTTTTGCAGAGTAATTAGTGGCTTTGAAGTAGCTGCTTCTTTGCATTTGCAGGCAAATCCTGCAGGCTTACCTCCTTGATCTGCATGGCTACTGGGCACACTCAGCTGAACTTAAAGGTAATCCTAACAGAGCACCACAGGGTTTCAGAGCTCATCTTTCTTGACAGCTTGTTAGTTGTCCATATTCGTCCTCTTCAAAACATGAGATTGCCCTTGCTACTGTGCAGCAACTCCCTCCCACTGTGCAAGAACTCGTTTGACTTGCTGTGCCCTCGCTGGCCACAGTGGCAGGGAACACCGAGTGCCATATACCATGGGGGTTTTGGTCAATGAAGGGAACTTTCACAGAAAAAATGGCAAAGGGGAAAACCAACCTCCTGAGGCTTACAAGGAGAAAGAAAGGCAAATGTGGCTGCATCACTTCATTTGCTAGTGCCCATGGGGATTAGAGAAGAGAGAAAAAAGAGAGGAGAGGAGAGGAGAGAGAAGAGAAGCCTTTATCCCTTCCTTTGCCAAATAAGCTGAGCAAAACAGAGAGCCTGACTGTCTTTCTTGAATCTCTGTATCTCCCTGAAGCCCACAGAGCAAGTAGTATCCACTTACAGCTGTGGCTCCCATAATATTTGAATAGTGGCTTAGTCTGAGATCTGTTACCCAAAATGCAGTGCCACTTAACAGGGATCAGCTTGGGGATCAGCAATCTCAGTGGTGTGGCTAGTGGATTTTTCTCCTTTCCAAAAATTCATAAGGTGGGATTGAACATTAAGAAATAATGTCAGAGCCTACAAACTGAGTTTATAGCTGTTCAGTAGTTAAGAGACTGAAAAATCCATTCCCAGAATTAAACAGACCCATGAAACGGGAAGCTGGGGGATATCTGCAGGATACTTTCGATGTGGAGGATGACTAGATTTTAAATCCTTGTTGGCTGAGCTACACTTTCTTACATTCTTTTTTTCCCCCTAATGGAGAGATAACAGGATGATACCATTTCCTTTCAGGATTACGAAGAAGGGAAGGATTTAGATAACTGTTTCTGGCTACACTCTGCATGGGTGAAAATTGTGTTTTTGTAGGAGATGAGCTCCTTTAATCTGCCACCTTCATTCTTCAGAAGTCATTCCTCTGTGAGTGATGATTCTATACACCTGAGTGAAACATGTTTTTTTAGTTTTTCTGAGAAATAAAACAAATTGGGATTATAGTGCCCGTAAGCACTTTGAACCCTCTTTCTTTTTTTTATCCACTATATTCCACTACTGAATATATATGTGTGATTACCCTGGAATTAATGATGTAGAGGATTGAAGGTTTATTACTTAATGTATTTTAGTGACCTTCTTTTTCATTTCCCAGCTATGTTTTTCTTTCTTCTCGTTTTATTTCTCATCTAATTTCTTATTCTCCTTATTGACTTTTCCTTAGAAAAAATTTTAACCCTTCCTGCTTCCCTTCCTGCTCCTTTCCCAGTATTCCATTCTTCCACCTACTTTTTTATTCTTCTTTATTTTCATCTCTGCATTTTTATACAACTAATCTTCCAGTCTTCCTATTTATCTTCTCTTGTTCTTCACTTTCTCCCTATATTCTTTCTACATTCATTTACGGTTTCTTGTTTCCATTTTTTGCTCTATTTTCCTCATCTTTTTCTGATTCTTTCCTGGTTTTGTTTGTCACCTTTTGCTTTGTTTAATATGTTTTTCCCCAACTGTCTTTTAGATTCTTACTTCTCTGTCATTCCATATCTCTAGCTAATTTAAATGAGTACTGACCTGCATTGACCCTTGAGCCTCCTGAAAGGCTGACTGATCATTCCGCAAGGACCTCAGCAATGGGTGGAGACTTTACATTCAGGCATGAGGGGTGTATGCGCCGTTGTGTGTCCAAGTATACATTTCATCTGTATGTTTCATGTCATTAGAAAATTATTCAGTAGCATGAAAGATACCTTGCTGAGTTTATTTTCTCAGTTCAAAATATAAATAAACGTGTATATTCAAGTACTTTCAGATTTATCCAGTTACAGCTATTGAATAAAGAACCAAACATATAGTAACAGTTAAATTGAAATTAATATAGGCAATTGTTCTTCCTATTATCTAGAATAACTACCTGTGCAAAGACTTACTGTGCAAAAACCATTACTTTACTACTTCATAATATTCAGAGTTTATTTTTATTTGTTTTTTAAAAATTCTGATTCTGCAGTGCTTGTTTCTGATACTTTTGTTGAACTCAGTGAAAATTTCTGCATTAGCCCTGATGAATTGTGCTGTTTATAGTTACCGGTATAATCCTGATTGATTCCTGAGGAGTGGGAGGTGATTTTAAAATAATCAGAGTTATGAGGAAAGAATGTATTTGACTGCTTTTAAGTACCATGCTTTTGTTTATTTGGAGTAAAAAAACCCCAACATTTTAATCCTAGAGTTGAGAAAATATTGCAGTTTATGTAACTAGCATAAGAGTCATATAAATGCCTTTTGCAAAGGTCAAATCACCAGCAAAACTGCTTATTTTATTTTTTTTACATTATTTTCAACACTCTGTGTATGAACATTCCAACATAGCATAAATGAAAGCACTTAAATGTTTTATCTTTCTTACTTGGTGATTTTAACATATTTGTTTGATTTTATTTTTTTTCTGCTTTCTTTTAGTATTTTCCTATGCAGAAGAATAAATGGTAATTAAAATGTGCAGGATGAAAAGATGGAGCAGTCAGTGCTTGTACCACCAGGACCAGACAGCTTCCAATACTTCACTAGAGAGTCTCTTGCAGCTATTGAACAACGCATTGCTGCAGAAAAAGCTAAGAATCCTAAACAAGATCGTAAAGACGATGATGAAAATGGGCCGAAGCCAAACAGTGATTTGGAGGCAGGAAAAACACTTCCATTTATTTATGGGGACATACCTCCAGGAATGGTGTCTGAGCCCTTGGAAGACATGGACCCATATTACATCAATAAAAAAGTGAGTCTGGTATCGATCCTGTTCATATGCCAGTGTTTGGAGTGCTTTATCATGTTCATTTCATTTTCGTGGAGTGGGTCATATAACTTGTTACTTCAGTCTGTTAATCCACAACCATGTAGGAAAATGTCATTCTAATAATGTGGAAATACTTGAGCACTGCTAAAGGACTAGATGTATAACAAGAGCAGAAAATGTTTGATGCCAGCAATGCATATACATTCTGCTTTCCAGAAAGCATCCTCTTCATTTACATAAAAATTTATTCCTTTGATATAATTGAATTTATATCAACACTGTACATGAACATTCCAACATAGCATAAATGAAAGCACTTAAAAATAAATGGGTTATTTTATTATTTTTATTTATCAAAGCACATTTTCTTCCCAGAAATCTACTTTTATAGCAAATTCCTAAGAAATTCATGGAATCAGTAGAGAAACGCACAGATAAGCAGAAAATGCCATAAAGAGAGTGTAAAACTGATTTAAAAAATTCTGATGGAACTGGTCTTGAAAAGCCCTGGAATCCTTTCAGGGTGATTCTGTCAGGAAAGGCTCACAGTTTATTGTGATAGCTAGCTTGGGTGATACTTTAATTATTAGATACTGTGATTATGAAAATCAGTATCAAGACAGGAGTTATTTTGATTTTCCAAAAGTGCTGTGTTCTCAGTGTCTTACCTTGCTAAATTTTGTGTGATTTATGAATCTTCTTTTGACAAGAGAGAAAATACTGTGTAAAAGAACAATATTTTTATCTTTATTATTTGATGCCTGTGAAAGAGCCTTTATCTGCCATTCACGGGGTATGAAGATTTATCTTTAAATCCTAACTCTACTTTTCCAAAGATAAAAGATGTGTTTCTATGAAAGCAGGCCTTGTATAGTTCTGTACTGATTGTGTCTGTTTGCAATAGAAGATCACCTATAATTATACCCCTATGTGCCCACAGCTCATCTTGGATCTTTATAGTCAAATCAGTCTGTCTTGTGCATCTTATAGTAAAAACAGATACATAATAGGTATGACTTACAGGTAAGCCTCTAGAGCCCTTAGAAACAGAAGACCATTTCAGTCCCTTCACAGATGGAGCTGGAAACTTACTACATCATCCAGGTCTGATGATAGAGCTGGAAGAAGCAGAGTGAAACCAGCTGAACGTATTCAGACGAGCTCCTGCACTATTTGAAAGGAAAAATCTTTTCATTTGCACACTAAATAACTTTATTGGTATGTCACATACCTGCTGGTATTCTCTTCTTTGTGCTGAAGTCCACAAATCTTCTCTATGCATGTGCTTTAATGTTCTACAGAACAGAAATAGAAACAGCCCTGTCAGTCAAATACAAGAAAAAAATTCTCACACACTGCAATTCTCTCCAGTTTTTCTTCCTTCGGTATAAGGAAAATAAACTTTCCTAACAGAAATTCAATGTCTACTTCAATTTTACAGTCAAAATTACTTTAAAATATCTAATTCCTGGATTTTTTTTTTCTAGCTGTGTGTGAATTCTAGAAAGGTTTTTATCTTGTTTTGTCTTTTGAGAGTATTGGTAGTAGCTGATGCTCCTGCAAGTCTCAGGTGGAAAAATAGTTTGAGGAAAGCCTGAAGAAAAAGTGAACATCTCTGGAAGATGTGAAGGACTCTTAGTGCTCAATGCATTTACCTCTGTACCATTTAGCTTTCTCTCTATCCCTCTCTGAACTCTACCTTGTAAAGCCAAGGAGTCAGTCAACACACCCTCTCCCAGTGTAGTGGTCTGACAACTACTGCATGATGGTTAGAGATTCTATATTTTTGCCTGGGGAAGCATATATCTGAAATTAATATGGATCTAACAGAAAACACTAGAATGAAGGAAAATATTTATTTGCAAGAAAGGATTAGGACAACTGTAGGGAATAGCAGATGTTACTGTTGGTTCAGAACTCTATTTAGATATCTGCATAAACTGATTTATCAACAGAAATATATCAGTTTGGCTTCCAAACTTTCAAATAGGAAATAGAAATGATTACCCACAACACTGATCAAATTATACTAATGAGCATGGTCACACTATTTATTCAGGAAACCTGTACAAGAATTTTAGGAGTATCTTTTCTATTCCAAATTTGGGTCATAAATGAAATCATCCATCATTTGCCTCATATGCAAGTATTTCAGCCCATTGAGGTTTATCGGGTTTTTTTGTTTGTTTGTTTTCCTATTTTTTTATAGCAATATTGAACAAATTCACTGTATTTTTGCATTCATTGAATGTTGAAACATCATCTAGAGTGTTTCACATTTCATCTTTGGGTCCCTTTTTCTAAGCAATATTGTTATGCATGTGTATGCCATGACCTAATACAGTTTAATACAGAATAAGACAGGAATAAATAAATTTGTTAAGCTGGTGAGAGCCTTAATTTCTGGATAAGGTAGCCCTGAGATGAAACGTTAAAAATGGGAAAACCTTTTAAGAGAAACAAAACCAGATAGATGTGCTAGTTTTATGGTTTTGTAATTGTCCTTCTATGCAAAATCTACACCTAAAGAGGACATACTCAAGCCCAATATTAATCTGAGGGTGAAAGGAAAAGGGAAAAATTGACAACTGCTGTTTGACAATGGACCAACCCATTGTAGCAAATTTACGCACATGATAGTGTTATTGATTTACTCTGTATCACAGATAGCCTTAAAGCCAGCAACGGTACCCTTGGAACATAATTATTTTATTATAATACAGTACATTACAATATTTGACCTTATATTCTTATGATTTTATTATAATGGAATGCTGTCTGTGGTTGTCAATAGTGCTCGTCTTTAGAACTGCGAAGTTTAGCATCCTAAATGTTTGCAATGCTCTTATAAATCTAAAATTGAGTTAAAAAATGAACTTGGACCTTACAAATTTTTCAAGTATCACTTCTGTGTAAGTGCAAATCAGTGTGTTCCCAGTATAATAGTGACTGCCTGTTTGTGCTCAAGCTGCTGTTAGAAAGGATCAAGGAAGTTCACATCACTGTATAGAGAAATGATCAGCTGGATCCCCTTAAGATCCTGACCTACAGGCATGCATAAAAATCTGGTCCAGTTGGTTTCATATTTTGAGGGCTGGCTATTTTCTGTTGAACCTAGGCTGCTACATTAAAGAGGAGAGAAAGAACAGGAGGAACTAAATGGGTCTTATTTCACGTTCCTCCTGCTACAATATAGATATAGTATTGTTGATTGCCATTCCATGCCCTACCTCTCGCCAGAAGGATGTTGAATGATGTCTGTCAGAAAAGGTACATCCTTTTGGCCTGGCACTTGGTAATATCCATCCCTAATCTGATCAAACCACTGTCTCCTCAGACTCGTAGATTTTGGGGTTGCAGAAACAAAAAGATTCTTTAAAATTGCTTTACTTAACTAGTACATCAGAACAGGTGAATGCACTAGTGATTTTAGATATTTTGTATAGGTGTAAATGAAAGAATTTTTAAGTGAAAAGTTTTAGCAAAACAGAAAATTAAGGTCTTTCTTACTAGAAAAAAAGATTGGTTTCAGAAGATAACCACAAAACAAAGAAATGACAACTTCCAATATGCCACGAGTCTCTTGTTCTAGCTGCCCCTGGGGCTTTTCCCAGGAAACTAATGTGTCACCTCTTGTCTTTCAGAAGGTCCTTTGAGATTTTAGATGGTGTTTATTTAACTGTAGGAAGTGGAAATGCAATGGAGAAGCAGTCAGCCTGCTTAATGTAGCCTCCCAGAAACTACATGTAAAGCTAACTGGGAGGAAGGAGAGGAGAAATAAGGTTTTGGGAACTCTTTGTCCCAAAAGGTTCTTGGAGACCGTATGTTCAGCATAGACTTTTCTTTACTTCTCCTCCTGTGCCCTGCTAAAAATACAGTTTCTGGGTTTATATATAATATGGCAGAAGTTACAGAACTGGATTCTGTTAGGTTACAGATGCAAAAACAGCAAATCAGGGACTTCTCATTGGGGATTTGTTTGAATTTATATTCACACTCAAATACGTCGAACATGAGCAGGTTTCCTGCCTTTATACAATGATTAAAACACTTTATAAAACCTAAGCCTTGAAAGGTATACATAATCCTTGATATAAAAATATTAATGTTACAAATTGCTTAGAATTTATTTAGCTTTTCTCAGTGTATATCCACTTTGTCCTGACAGCTTTGGGTACAATACTTCATGTTCATCCACACTGCCTACACATTGGCTTGCATCTGGGTTGAGACTGGAGTGAGATATAGCACACTATGGAGGGAAGTTTACATAGGGATTGGATATCAGCTGTTATCTGTATTTTTTATGAAAATTCTTCTTCAGATGTAAAACACAATTTTAATTCATGTCTAAGGCTACAAGTCAGAGGATCAACAAAGTCATTCTGAAGGCTCCAATCACAAAGAAGCTTTGAGTGAAAAATTAAAACTGAGGTAGTTAATTTATGTCTTGTTGGTTCTACTTATGCAGGGCAGCAGAAAATAGAACAGCTAAAATAGCAGCAGCTTCCAACTGAAACTGGAGCTGTGCCAGCATGCTGTTATTTTCCAGAAGGCATGTTAGAAAAGAGATGTATGTTTAATATGCTTGTGTCTAAAGATTTTTTTTAAAATGTAGGTTGACTAAATGTAGGTGGTGTAGTCTTAAATACAAAGTTAGTAGGGAGTGTGATTTTTAATGTATTTTGTCGACTACCTCATAGCTACAAAAGCCAAGAGCGGGAGCTGGAGGATTCTTAGGTGTAAGTCCTAGAGTTTGGGACAGACCTGGGAGGGGAAATTCACCTTCCCCCTTGGGATGTGAGGTTTTAAAACATTGTGCCAAAAAAATCATTCACCTGCTTGCTTCCTTCAGTGTTTAAAATGAAAGCTTCATTTAAAGTCGGGTCATCTTCAGTTACACTTTGAAGGTTGCTTATTGTCTGTAGTCTATAACTGGAAGTGTAATTTGGAAAAATTAGCTCAGGCTTCATCCCTCTGTCTTCAGTTTCATATGCAGTTTCTCTATTTCTGTGCAGAAGCGGGGAAATCAAATACATATTTTATATCGTTACTACACATAGAGTCATAGAGTGGTTTGGCTTGGAAAGGACCTTAAAGATCATCTAGTTCTAACCTCCCTTTCATGGTCCGTACATACTAAGCTTCCTTGCCATATTTTCTCTCTGCCAGCCTTGCCAGAAATACTTACTTTCTTACAGTCTTCAAGTGATGGTTGATCTCATGGACACCAGAAAAGATCAACATACCCTTTCCCACACTTCCACTGGCATTCTAGTTTATAACTCACTTTGTCAGCCATGTAATGAAAAACAAGGAGGCTTCATCAGACTTACTTATGAAATATACAATTCTGACAAAACAAGAAAAACAATTTTGGACATTTCTCTTGGGCAGATTCTTCAATACCTATAATTCATTCTAATTTAGGCTATAAACCTTGCATCATCCCTTCAATTGCATGCAGCTTTATTCTGAGGTACTGACCTTTCCTTCTGCAGTGTTTTGATTTCTTTCTGCTTGAACTTGACAGTCCACATTTCCTATGCTGTACTGTTAACGCTCTTGCAGCCATGATGGCCTACAGTGGAAGCAAAGCAATGTTTGTAGGGTTCACAGATTTATTGGAGAAAAAATGCCAAGTTTTCAGTGTACAGAATTTTCTACAATTTGCTGAAGCAAGGCTCGCATGCCTCTAAGTTTCTCTAAATTTGATAGGCTCTTTAACTGTTAAAATTTAAATTTAACAAATATGTATGTTCTGGAAAAGTTTCACACCTTCAAGCCACAGTTGTACAGGGAAGTCGTCTTGGGTGCATCTCTTGCTGTCCTCTGCTAAGGTGTATTCAGATGACCACAGTCCTCAGAGATCTACCTAAGCATGTCTATATGCGTTAATGCTATTTTCTCTCTCCTTAGCACAAATACCAAGAAACAGGCTAGAATTAAAAAAAATAATTAACAAATGGGTAGTCTATTAAATCAGTTTCTAGAAGGATTCTCTTACTAACATATCCTTAACATCCACAGGTAAGGTTTCTCTGCTTATGGCATTTCAAATAGGAAGAGGAAGTTTTCTATGGGAAAAATAAATACAATTATAATTTTAGTTAGTCATTTCTGCACCACTTTTTTTACAAGAAACACATGTAAATGTATTGTATTAATATACTGAGGTTCTTAAATGAAGAAGTAGTATAAAAACATTAATGAATTGAATGTTCTATATTTAAAATTATATTTTCATATGTCAGGTACATCAGGTAAGTACTGGAATTAAACTTTATTTAAAAAATGAGTCATGGTTTTTGTGTTTTAACTATTCAAAAACTGTCAATTTTGGTGATTGGTCACTAGGAACAGTCTTAAAATCAGCATCTGCAATGAATACACACTTATAAAATGTCTTTTCTTTCTCTTTTTCAGACCTTTATAGTATTGAATAAAGGGAAGGCAATCTTCCGATTCAGTGCCACCTCTGCCCTGTACATTTTAACTCCCTTCAATCCTCTTAGAAAAATAGCTATTAAAATTTTGGTACATTCATATCCTTTTTCAATGGTTGTTCAAAATGTTACGCACTGAAATTCAGAAAACTTATCTCTCTATTTCATTGTAAATAAAGGTTTTATTAGGCTGTTAATTTTATTTTTATTTTACAGTGGAAGACATGCTAAGATTTTATAAATACTAGAAAATATGCTATATCATATAGGTGCATTTTAGCTATTCTGTTGAATTTCAATATTTCTGCTGTACAAAATGGATTTAAGGATCTTGATAAATTTTTCAGAAAAGTTTCTTCAGATTTATTTTAGCATTGATTTCTCTTTTTATGTTTTGCATAAACGTAAGAAGATTCTTTTTTGAGTTTTGCAAGCAATTACATGTATATGCAATTGTTCATGAACAGTTAGCTCAGGGGTATAGTTATATTGTCTTTTAGGGGTCCTTCTGAGGTCATCCTCAAGACCAGCTTTATAGTCTCTTGCAGCAGCATGCCTGGAAGCCTGGTTCATGCATATTCAATCTCACATTCCCAAACCTTCCAGCTGCACCATAAAACTCTGCCAAATTTAATACATTGCCAGAAAGCATAGGCAGCCGCCCTGCAGGCTGTATGTCCACATGGTGGACAGACTGGGGGACCATAACTGATAGGATGGTGCTCAAGGTAAAGTTTTAGACTGGCACATGCAATTAGTCCCTGATGTTCATAACAGGCTGATAGGAACTTCTGGCAGGTGAGGGTTTGGTGCACTTTTTTTGCAAAATCCCAGGACTGGGAAAAGTAGTCACCAAATGAAAATTTCAGTGTGACGGTAAGATTTTAAATATTGAACAGTTAGTCGAAGTTAGAAGCCTATTATTAGAGACAGCTGGCACAGTCTTCTAGGTCTTTAGGAGAAGGAAGAATCAAGGCTGGCTGACGCTGACTCAGAAGACCTTTTCCTCTGAGCTTCCTGGCAGATCAAAGCAGTGAGAGAAGGGGAGAAAAGTGTCTGGAGTGGAGTAAGGGAGCATTGGGGGACAGTAGCTAAGGGATCTGACAGAGACCTGCAGACATGGTGTTGGCGATGGTGAGAAAATCAGCCAAAGGCTGCCAGATTGAAGCCTCTAATGAACACTCATGCCTGCATCTGTGCTAGTCATGGGTAATCATAGAATCGTAGAATCATAGAATAGTCAGG